TTGTATATGTGAGAAGATGACATTACTTATCCAAATGGAAGATGCCCACTTTGGCTTTTCAAAAAGAACACAAATAATATGCTTTATTTGGAAGTTATTCACAGCACACAGCAGATGATAGTATTTACAATGAGCTGAGGGTTGTATACCCAAGGTGTAAAAAGAGTATTATGCAGATTAAAGAAAAAAACGGAGTCAATGGCTGAGATGGTTGTGTTTCTGAATCCTACGAGGGGCATAATATTGGTTATGCAATTCATGTCTTGATATTTTGGCTCAGTCAGATGAAAAAAATGTCTCAATAAGCCAACATTTATGTATTTATTCATCTTGCGCAATATTTTAGATTAAATGTCATATTTTCATTAGCTGTGCATGAAGAAATTATCAGAATTAACAGAAGTAAAGACTTTCATAGACCCATATTGTGTTTCACGTAGTAAATTGAGTTTCTAAAATAGATTAACTTTTTGACAACATTTGTTTTTGAATTAACTGTCCATACACTGTATAAAAACACTCTTTCTTTGGAAATGTAGTTAGTTTTCAGAATAAACTTATGGACATTAAATGAACATGTTTATGAACATTAAACATTGTTAATGTTCTCTTTAAAAAAATAACATCAAAAGATGTTTATCAAGACTGCTAGCATGTCTTAAGGAAATAAATTAGTTGTGTTTTCATTTGCTTGCATCCCTTTACATAAAGAAGTAGAGATGATTTCAGGATTTTATTAAGCCACATTTTTCATAAGCACACATATTGTTCAAAGTCGCTGGCAATCTTTGTTGTGATTTGGTTTTGATGTTCTCCTACGTTCTTGGTCTTTTATGGGTGGCCCAGCTTTTTCAGGCAGTGAAAAACAAAACAAGCTATGTTTTTTCATAACTGAGATGCCTTTATATGTGTAGGTGTGTGTAGGTGTTTGTTCTTCAGCATGGATAGTCTCTTGCTTGGGGTCTTGTTTGCGCCTGTTAGGTGCTGGGATAGTCGCCACCCCTAAAATGTGACTGAAATCTAACATATATTTTATCTCCAAATTTTATTGTTGAAATAATAATAATCATATCATCCAAAAGGTCTACTGTACCGGTTAGGAAAGGAAAGACATCCAGTGGCATGACATTATAATAAATCATCAGAGCGCAGTTGTGGGAAAAAATAAGTTGCTTAGGCCCAAGTTGCCACAGTTAATTCCCTGAACTCCTGTTTGTGTTTTTGCAGGAATGAAACAGATGAAGCTGAGAGAGAAATGGGGACGGAGGAATAAAGGAAATTAGTAACGTAATCCACAGCAGGATCAGAAGAGCGCGATTGGATTATATGTTGTTGCATCACAGCAAATGAAAGATGTTTGAGATCAAAGGCAGTGATTTTCACTGGGAGAATATGGAGATACATTATTGAAGATTGAACAAAGCATGTGTGTCTGTGTGTGTGTGTTCTTGTGGTAGAGGGCCGTATTTGATGTCATAACTTGGGAAATGTAGCCTCCTCCATTCACTGGAGCTGTGTAACCTAACCTAGGCCTCTCATTGTGTCTTTATTTGTTTGATTTCAAGGCAGGGACCTACAATTAAGCCAATCTGGAAATGGGATCAGGCTGTGACTGACGATAATTACCTGCTGTCTACACCATTAAGAATTTAATGTAATTTCAGATAGACTTTCCTGGAAGGGGGGTAAAAGGCCCAGATGGTGATAGAAAACAGAGAAAGTATTCAGGGGCAAAGGTTGAGATGTGTTTGTGTATATCAGTATATAGCTCTCTATGCAGTGTTTAATTCTCTTACAATAAACCTAGTCACCTTTCAAAAGCTTGTTCTGCCCTTGTTTTGAAAGTTTTATCAGAACAATTACTGATGGGGATCAGTCATGTGGAAAAGCTGTGAAGTGTCTCTAACTGGCACCTTTCCCAGCTGTTTCTATCCGTATAAAACCCAGAGCAGGATTCACTTAACAAAACATCCCCTCGAAGATCAAGTTAAGCTCAATGAGATCTTACAGCTGATTGTATAGATCAGGGTGGACAACCGAGTTCAGTTGATGTTTAAAATATGACTGACCAAAGAACCCTTTCTAAACAAAAGGAAAGAAAATATGATTTCTATAATGTTTAATAGGTTTTTTAAAAAAATCTGTGTTATGTTGTTTTTCATACTAAAACCAGTCTGAAACGTCCGGTAAACCACCCAGTAGTTGCAAAATAGAAGTAAAGATCAGACTAGCACCAAGACCATGGTCAAAACTAATAAGTGCTTATTTCGCAATAAATGTACCTTCACACTGGCAGTGGAGAAATTTATGCTAATAGATTACAGCACCCACACCTGCTCAAGATCCTGTCTGTTGCAAAACCGGTTCATTCTGGGGTGCGAAGTTTGCACAAAATCAATCATAAACTGCACAAAAGTATTTCTTTATCACCAGAAGCAGAAGAAAAAGAGTGCTCAGGGAGCATATGCATCACAGCTTTACAGTGGCACAAAGGCTTAAAATATGAATGCACAGCAGCAGGTGTGATGCAGCAATTTAGCAATGCAAATGTACCTTCACAGCCATGCAGGTGCTTTAAACCTGGAGTAAAGCGAACCTGCTGGGAGTTTGCCACAAAACTCTTGACAGAAACACTCGTTAAGAAGCAATATTCACATTTTAGATTAAACAAAGACTGAATTAATTGGTCACAATTGTCAATGATATGAAGAGCTGATTTTGGATATGCACTGATGCTTTTCAATTAATCTGTAGTCATATACAAGAAAGGTGTTCCAACTTCCAAGTTTTTAAGATACCCTTACAGAAAAAAAAAAAAAAAACTTGAATCAACTCTTTTAACCAAATACAAATATGTTTCTACATCCATTTAGACAATAACTATCTGACCGCCCTCATTTAGAAATGCATTGTCAAAAAAAGTCCAGGTTTCTTGAAGGACAAGCTTAAATTACTCTTGTAATAATCTCATCTTCCACCCTGATTTTCTTTAGTGCAACAAACATGAGGGACTAGTTGGTGTTTTGTGGGCATATGAGCATGTTGACATGCTGTTCAGGTAACTTATTACAGCTGCCTGGAGCCTATATAAAATCCTTATTAAGTTATTAAATATTGCTAGTTTTTTCTGCACACAGTTCTGGCTCTAATCTACAACACTTTGTAAAAAAAGAAATAACTTAAGAAGAGTAGAAAGCATCTTATAAGGAAAGGGTGCATGGATGTGATTTTTGTATATATATTTATTATTCTTAAACTGCTTCAAATCTTACTGATTTTGGCAAAACAAAGACTGAGCTCAATCAAGCAAATAAACACATTGTCGGACACTATCAACTTTAGTGTTTCTTAAGTATCATGCTTATGAGTGCTATCATGACCCAACAGTCTGGTATCACCTTTTCCTGTCCCAGCATGTTAAGGCAATAAAAGAGGCCCACTGAAAGACTGAAAGCTGGAAGGGGGAGAGAAGGGACATGGTGAATGAAGTAAGACCTTCGTTGTTATTTCTGCAATTAATCACATTCCTGCAAGTGCTTGCACAGTGTGAAAAACAAATGTAAAGTTATCCAGACACTGTACCAAATTAAGGGTTACTTGGCTGCAAGCTTTTTTTGGTATAGCCTTGATGCGTCACCAGGGTATTGACTGAGCAAGAGTTCTGCTTGATGAATGAGGTTAAGACATATCACCTAATTTTCCAAGGGTGAACAACACTTGAAGCAGGCAAAATGCTGTACATTAATCAATGAGTGATACTATTGACAAAAGCAAGAGGGCTTCTTTTGGGAAACACATTACTTGCCTGACTGTTCTTTTAAGAAAATAGTTTCACTGTTGCAGAAAAAAACCATTTGAATCCAGTTATACTTGTCTTGGAGCATAAGGCAGATTAAATGCGTTCCCTTAATGTCACGCCTTGTGAGATATTTTGTTCTTGTTAACGCACCTTCCATTATGACCCGTGATCATATTTCAGCCTATTTGTGTAATGCACAGTCTGGCCAGTGATGATTACTGAAGATTACGCTGAGGCTGATAGCTCCTGATGTGCTCTGTGCCTGCATGGCACACTTCCGTCCTGAAAAGCCTGTGATCACTTAAGAAGCTGCTTGGGTGAGCACATTGTGAGCACAGGTTTGTTTGGATGTTTGCCACTTTGTGAAAGCCAAACAGGTTTCAGTGGTGCTTAATACAACAGAATTCCTCTCTGGGGAGTGTACATCCCGTTAACAAGAAAACACAGAGTCCTGAAGGCTTTGTGTCTGCACAGCTTTCACAGTAAACACAAACAAGAACTGCGCAGGGAGGCGGCACCTTCATAAAGCTGAAGATTAGGTGTTCGCATGTTGGGGGAGAACCTGTCACGGCCACTTTCACAATTTTATGGGTGATATTTTATGAATTTGTACTGATTGTAGCAGTAATAGAGGTACAGTGCAACTCAAAAAATGTGAGGAAAGTTGATTTGACCTTCCACACAAGAGCAATGTTTTACCTCTAAAGTGTTACTCTGGGTGTTAGTGTACCAGCTCTGACACACATGCAGGTGTTGACAGCGATACAGGGGCTGTTTTTCAACTGTTTTCTGGCACTTGCATTGTGTGTAGTGCAATGGATTAACCATTTCCATACTAGATCAGAAAACTGTATCTAAATTTTAGTGAATTTATCTGATATCAAATTATTATATTTCATTCTAAAAAGCCAATTTTTCCCATAATTGGTATTATAATTGGTGTTAAGATACAGATAAGATCTGTGCATTTACTAAAGACACACATCAAATTAATACATTGTGGGTTTGTTTATATATTATTAATATTTAAATAAGCTAACAAGAACAAATGCAAACTTGAATCTGTGAGTTATATTAAACAACCTGTCAATAAACAGGGAGGTGAAATGAAGTATCTTCAATCTTTCTTGACATGATAAAGCATTTCACAGAAAAACAGTTTTAAAAACATGGGACATACGAGACATAGGATGATATCAAATATATTATAAAAATAAATATCTTTAATAATTTATCAGATTTTCTCTTTCATACACTTGCAGTTTATTTTACAGACACATTAAAAATGGCATGATTTAAATTAGATTGACATATGAAACATCAAGCACATAAATGTTATAAAATAGTGTTTCATTTATCATCTTTGATAAATGTTTAGCTGTGTTGGGAGGGATTTTCTGTTAAATATGTTTGACTTCCTAAGACTTCAGGTACTTTTCAGTTGTGGAAGTCTTTTTGTAGTTACTCGCATTGTGCTCAGACAAGATTAAAAAATAAACCAAAAACACAGACAGGGACCCCATGCATGCTTTTTTTTTTTTAAACAATTATGTTAAAAAGAGTAAGACAAAATTCAATCGAGTCCAAAATAACTTATCGAGCTAGACAGTGAGGCTGATTGTTCTGATAAAGCTTGGCAGGGGTCTATATGTAGGTTTTAAAAATTAGCAAATAAAGCACATGATTTACATACAAATGGTCTTTTCTACAACATTCAGATTTAGAAGTTAGATTTTTGCTTTGTGAATATACATGGACAGTTTTTGAAAAAATAAATATTTAAAAATTTCTCCAACTTTTTCTGATAACCTCAGTGGATAATTTCTTTCTTAAATTGATTCAAGAGAACGGACCTCCTGTGGTGAAACGTCTCTATTTATACCAGTGCAAAAGTGTTACATAAAATAGTAAAACAATTTTTTACAATATGTACAAAATAACTCTGTAATCTCATCAGTTGCTCTTGTTGCTTTACTATAATGCCATTATTACTTTCTTGCCAATAATTTTCTAATGTGCCACATTTGAATTAATTGAAAAGAATGAAATATAATGTATCGTATAGGAGATGACAAAATAGAACTTTAAACTTAGCTCTTCCTCTCTTGGGTGTATCGCAGTAATAACACTGAAATTACCAAAGCAAAAACAGCAACTTTATGTAATAGCTGTACTTCTTACAGTTATATTTGTAAACATTCACGTAAACAATGGTAGTTTTTGGATATGTACAAAACTGATGATCAGATGTTTGACATCTGCCTGAGTTTTCTGTTCAGAAAGTTTGCTGAGCCATTTTTTAATTTTAAAGGTACTTCCACTTCTGATCTTTTCTTTCTTATCTTTTTAAATCTCTTGCAGCATATATATGATATCAATATGAGAACCAGGGAAAACAAACCGAGACATGCCACTGAAAGACTGATGAGGATGGGCCGACAGGGGAACAACTCATACCTCTCTGGCCCATCTGTCATCTGACTGATGTACCAGGGCTTCTCTTCAACTTCTATGTCAACGTCTCTGGTCAGCAGACTTTGGATGTAACTCTCATTACTCACTGTTTCATTGACAAAGAAGTTAACCATGACCGTCGAGTAAAGCGGTTCAGGTTGACCGTGATCACTAACTTTCACCAGAAGGCTGTAAAGCCCTCTGTTGCTGAGCTCTCTCTTTAATGTTATGTTTCCTGTTTCTGAGTCAATTGCAAATGACCCTGGCTCGCCCCCTTTCCTTTTAATGATACTGTAGGCAATCACAGCATTCATCCCTGTGTCTTTGTCCACTGCGTACACTTCTGCTATTGATGTTCCAGGTGTTGTATTAGGTAGTACCAGCATGTAGGACTGGTTGGACTGAGGGAAAAGAACAACCGGCGGGTTGTCATTCACATCCAACAAGAGAACAGTCACCATAGTAACAGAGGAAAGCGCTGGCACCCCACCATCAGCGGCCTCAATCCATAGCTGATACGTTCCTTGCTGCTCACGGTCTAGGGATGTCTTGGCCCTTAGTGCACCTCGGCCAGTGTCTATCATAAAAATGTCACTGCCATTAAGGATGGACAGGGCTACCCACCCATTCTTACCAGCGTCAGGATCAGTCACAGTGAGGACACCAATCTCCCCATACCCAGGAAAGTTCTCTGGCACAAAGAAGGTAAAATCCTTGTTAATGAAACGTGGACTGTTGTCATTGCGATCCAGTACAGTCACCACTATCGTAGCAATTGACTCCCTCCTGGGCATCCCCTGATCTACTGCTCTAACTATGAATCGATATTTTTCTTTTTCCTCTCTGTCAAGAGATGTCGCAACAGTCAGAACCCCCGTCAGACGATCCACTACAAAAATTCCAGGAGTATCACCACCAAGGATGTAAATTACCTCCCCTCGACTTTCACTGTCTGGGTCTGAGGCTTGGAGCTGAGTCAGAAATGTGTTTGGTGAATTATTTTCCTCAATTGTTATTTCCACTAAAGACTGTTGAAACACTGGTGCATTATCGTTCTCATCCAAAACCTGCACCTTTAGGAAAGTCTTTATGATTAGACCTTGAGTGTTGTTACCAACCAAAATTAGCTCATATTCCTGAGTCCTCTCATAGTCCAATGTCTCTGTTGTTTCTAGTAAATACTCATTCTCTAATTGCTGGTATGGGACAAGCCTGAAGGGACCGAACCCTTCCAAATAACAGTCCACCCTTTGGCTTTTGTCCATGTTTTTGATAGTAAAAAATGCTATTGGAGAAAAAGCTGGCTCAGACTCCTTTAGTGTCACCACTCCATCCTTTTCGGGTGCAATATATCTAGGTATGACAGCAGGGGGTCCTGTAACCACTTTGATGATGTAGACAGTTACAGTTGCAACAGCAGGGATGCAGCCAGGTCCATTGGCCAGAACAGTCAGTTTGTAAAATGTGGTTGTGACAAAGTCTAGCTTCCTGGCAAGCTTGATCACCCCTGTAATTTTGTCCAAATGGAACAAGCTCCTGGTGTCCCTTGGCACACGTTCACTGTAAGCGTAGCTGATCTGTGCATTAGCACCAAGGTCAGGGTCAAAAGCATGCAAACGTGCCAACTGTGCCCCTTTACTGGTATTCCCGTGCAGAGTGACATTAATTTGTGACTCTGTAAATTTAGGGCAGTTGTCATTTACATCTGTGATGGCAATTTTTAAAGTTGCTGCTCCAAGAAGGGGAGGGGTCCCTCCGTCTTCTGCAATGATATCTGTAACATATTCCGCTTGCGTCTCTCTGTCTAAAAAGTCTGTCACGATGAGGAATGGTGTCAGCTCACCTCCATCATTCTCCTCTACATCCAGAGTAAACACACCAAAGTCGTTAACCAGCCAGTAGGTCTGCACTCCATAAATCCCCAGGTCCGGGTCAATGGCAGACAGTTCCACTGCAAAACGGTCATTTATTGCTGTGTTTTCTGGGATAGATATGCGGATTTCATCTGTGGGGAACTTCGGCCTGTTGTCGTTCACGTCTTCAATTAAAAGCTTTACTTTGACAAGCTGAAAGTACTGCTGAGGCAACACAAACACGTCCAGTGAAAGGAAACATCCCTGCTCCTCAGAGCTGTAAGGACACAGGGTTTCCCTGTCAATCTCAGCAGCGGATGTGTAAAGCTCCCCAGTAGTATTATTTATGTTCACATACTGCTCACTGACCTTCTTTTGAGTGAGACTGAATAAAAAGGGGGGCTCAACTGTGAAATCCAAATGTAAGTCCACTCCAATAGACCCGATGAAAGTCCCCTTGGGTAATCCCTCCTTTATCTTATAGATGAGCTCTTTTGCTTGACTGAAATTTGCCAGACAGGAGAGGGGGTTGGTGTACAACATAAGGATGTAGAAACCCTGCAATACAAGAAGATATAGGATGTTTCAGGTTGATTAAAAAAAAACAAAGTATCAGAAAACTATGATTTTGGTGAAACTGAGCATTTCTTGTTTGTAGTTCTTTGTACAATTTGATTCTTGTTTTATGTTGTTAAATCTGAGTGATATCATAATTACAAGCATCATTACAGGGACCAGTTAAGAAAATAAATCTAAGCCATGACTTAAAATGGCATTTGTTACAAAGAGATCATTTATATTAAAGAAGTTCACATCGTAAAAATGCATAACAATAGAAAGTACCTTATGTATCCATGTTGATGGTACAAAAGTTGCTGTTTTTTTTTTTAGATCACAGCAAGATAGTTTTTTGTTGGGTTGCATTTATTAAAAAAACAAACACGCAAAAAAAAAAAAAAAAAAAAAAAACCTGAAAACTTACCCATATGCTCTCTCTTTTGCTGGAGAATTTGCTCCTGAACATGTTTATGTCCTTGTCCAGCACTTTCCACTTACAGGAGGAAGAGTGGCAGCTTAAGTAACTCAGGCATTTTGAGCTGAGCAGACCTCTGCCGAGTGCTTTGCCTTATTTCTCTCTGACTTGAACAAGTCATTCATCTCAGTGCTGGCTCAGGACACTCCCACCACATGCAAATTAGTTTCTTGTACTAACCAATGAGAGGTGATAGTCAGTGGGAAATCTTGACTTGACAGATTCCTCTTTTGTACATCTTGTCAAAGAGCACTAACACAGACCTGTACTTTTCACAAGCAGCATTATTTTTATAAGGGCTTGCATACCTTGCATTCCTAAGTCAGACTGAAAGCATATGATTATCAGCAGGGCTTATGATGGCACGATTGACTGGGCAAGATGGGAAATATCAAGAGCCAAGAGATTATTTTAAATCCAGCAGTAGTTAAAAATATAGCTAGAAAAATGATGTGTCCAAGGTACCAAGAGAAATATTTGATATTCTAAAAACAGACTCTGACAACTATAATGTTTTTTTTTTATACGTGCAAAATAAAAGGGGGAAAGCATATTTAAGGTGTCTTACAATGACAATAAGAAATTTATATGTGGCATTATTTGTGGCATTCTGTATGCCTGCAAGCAAAACAAAAAGAAGGACATTATCACAAAGTCAGCAGAGAGGAGAACGTGGCATCATAAGTGCTTGTGTGGTCTCACTCTGGATTGAGCCTCTAACTAAATCAAGCCCCTAATCCCCATGTGTTCTAAATGCCAGGCCAGCTGTTTGGTGGGATTGGAAGCATACTGCTCAGAGAAATTGAGTGATTGAAGTTCTCTAGACAGGGGCGGATTGAAACTGTAACTCACACTTATTTTGCTTCGTAGTGGGCTAAATATCTTCCACCATTACCCAAGAAAGGAGGCCTATGGTGGAGAAACAACTGAAATCTAAACATTGTCTCTTAAGAGTTTGGAGATAATTTTAAAATACATATTACACTATCACAACAGAGGTAGGAGTATATTAAATAGGATTTAATGACAAATACATCTTTCATTCTGCATCTAGAAACTTGTTGGCCCATGGAGCGAGCCAAGACATATTTCTGCAAAGCAAGACTTAAGGCAAGTAAGGCCAGGGGGCCTTGGAGTGTGGGAAAGCTGCGGGTCAGGGAGAGTTTGAATTTAAAGTGGCAGTGTTATGTAAAATCAACTTTTGTTTTCAGCTTTAAATCATACTAAGATGTTATTCCCTCAGTCATTCAGCTGGTCAAACTCTTGGGGAGCCGAGCATTGTCTTCAAGGGCGAAGCTCCTCCTCAGAGCTGCATTTTCTAAGCTTCACAGAACAGCTCTCCCTCTCCAGTCAGCTCCTTCAGACTAGATAGAAGCAATTGGCAAACACCTGGTTGAACTGCACATCAACTGAGCTCATCATACAAACTAATTATCAGTGAAATGTTTTTATAAACATGAAAGAGGGTTAGTAGAGGAACGATGTGGCGAAGACTTCCTGAAGAGACAGAAGCCCAATTTCAAGGTGTCACTTAGGTAACATAGTTACTTGTTTGTGCTACAAAATAGTACCATGTGGATGAGAAACTTGATGCTTTTTGTTCTTTTAAAGCAATTTAGATTGAGTGAACCCCCAACTAAAGATTGTGAGCCGTTATAAATATTCAAGAAAAGAAAGACATAAAAAGGAAAAAAAAACAAAATATACCCTAAATCAATCACATATGTACCATATCACCCTCATTCTGTCGTCCTTACATTGGCTGCCTACAGCTCAGAGAATAGACTGATGGAAATAAATTACTGCATTTGGAAATGTTCACTCTTATATACATATATATAAGTTTAGAGAATACATAAATAAAAACCACAACTGGAGTCCACACAAGGAAAGAAGCCAAGGCCAATCGAGGCAGTATTACTCTAGTTTAATTACATCATTTGTTACTATGAGTCTCTGTGAGATGAGGCAGTGTAATCACTGTGCAGATTTCCTAACAGATGTCTGGCTAGTGTCTCGGTCTTTACATTTAATCAGAGAGCTCATAAGCTATGTTGATAACAGAGACACAGCTTTATGTTAAGTGAGATGGACACCACCACACCAAATTATTGGGATTTTAGTTTTGAATTAACCTTTAATTATAAAAGAAAAAGCTTGATAGAAGCTTGATAACTAAAATCTCAGCTCTTGGTCTAACTTCCCTGATATCTATATCTATATCTATTCCTTATTATGTGAGTTCAAATGTAAAAATGAAGCAGACATTGTCATACTACCAATCTCATCAGATCTTTAAAGTTTATGTGATGAATGATAAATTCTGGGATCGGTGGCATAAAATTAACTGATTTACTGCATCATTTTTGGATGGATTACTTTCTTACGACATTATTATCTTGAGTTTTGTTCTCCTATGTTAAATGATTGATTAACCCTCTGGGAATACAGCAGTATAGTAAACAAATGGTACACTGGTAGATGTGATTAGGTGATGTTATTAATAAGTTGGAATTCTGTAGTAGAGGTATACATGCATGGCGTATCTAATTATAACAGTAGTTACTTTTTTGTCAGTAAAAGCTTAGTATGACTTTTGAATCATTAAATCCATGTAATGATTCAAAATGTTGAATGCTATCGCTACATGACAAAGACTGATGAATAATGTCTCATACAATCCAAATAAACTCAGAGGGCAAAAAATCCTAATTACTAGTATTCCCAGAGTAAAAAAAGCCAGAGAATGTTTCAGTAAAGCTTGAATTGGTGCCACTGCAAATTTATCATGTCCACTTCAAGTCACAACCATCATAAATATTTTCAAGGATGGAAAATGCCATTTAAAATGCTTATGTTTTAAGTTTGAACTACCCAAACATGTGTTACCTGTTTTGAAAAAGCACACATTTAATTTGCATAGACATCAGTGTTAGAGTCAGTAGGTCAATCAACAAGGAGGAAATCTAATTGGTCCACATATTTTCATTGTGACAGAGGCAAGAATTTGACTGAAGAGTTAGCTCTATTGTTCCATTAACTCTGTGATACCTGGATGCAAACAGATACTTGTAAGAATATTACAAACTAACTGAATGGTGAATTTATTTCAGTAAATCACTTCATTAAGTGAAATCTAAAATATCATAGATATGATAAGAAAATCAGGGCTGGTTTTGGCATAGGGGAGTCAACTGCTGAAGGGGGTGCTGATCACAAATAGAGAAAATAAAAAATGAAATAAAAAAATACCACAATGTGGACCCTAATTGCCGTCTTTTTCTCCTGCCTTTGAAACCTGTTGTTTCACAGTTTGATGGACATCCCACTGCTGTTAATCAAATGCTCTGAAAATGGAAAACTGAACCTACCTGCTGATGCACCACAATGAGCTCATTCAATGGGAATAGGTAAAAAAATGTTTAAACAAATTTGTTAATCTTTGAGTGAATTTCCAGGGTGTCAGTGATTACTAACCTTTTTAACATGGTCCTTAATTTACAGTTAAGCTACATTGTATTTACATTGTATTGTTAAAAGCCAAACTTGGCAAATGATTTATAATTCCTAAAAGGGTGTGATGAAGTGGAAGAGATTATATTTATTCTTCTCTTGTCCTTTAAACATGTCCACCAGGTGTTTGCTAATTGCTGCCGCTAGTTTGATGGAGTTGCGTGAGGAAATGGAAATTGCTGGAGAAGAGGTAAGCTATGAGGTGGAAGCTTGGCTCGAGACTGCAGCACCAAGGAACAGCTTTGTGAAAACAGGAGATGCTTGGTGAGAACAAGCATTTGGGCATCACTGAATGACTGCCACGGGGAATGAAGAAGGTTAAAATATTATCATTAATCACACGTTTTGCTCTTAACCAGAAGAACCCTGTGCCTTCAAAAATATTGATATCAAAAATAGTATTAAGAATATATATATATTTTTAGTTTTGGTATAGAGTTTGAAATGTAGCTGTCATGACAACCCTACTAGAGCTATATCAGTAATATTTGTCTATCTTTGAGCCAAAACATTTTTCCCTTAAAACTAATCTTTTAGAATTTTTTGATTAATTACAATTTGAGTTTTTGTTAGCTGAAAGCCACAATAATCAGTATTAACAGAAATAAATGTTTGGAATAGACATCTATATATTGAATGTGAGCGTCATTGAATTGATTAAACAAGTAACAGATTCAATGTTATTCAGATTTATTGAGGTGTTCTTTTATATTCCGGACAGAAATATAGACTATAGACTAAATCTTGTCTTATCACAAACCCCCCTGTTGTAATTGTTTGACTTTTTTTTTAAATAAAATGTACATTTTTGACAACAGGCATCTCATAACTCTTTGTCAAGTTAACAGTTTTTAAAAGTGCCTACAATGAGAGAGTTCTCAGATTAAAGGCAGTAAATTCTCCATGGTTCTAAAAACAATTACTTTTTATTTATCTTAAGGGGCAATATGATGAGACTTTTTTGTACAAGGCACTCCTGTTCTGGTGATTTAAATGGCACTAGTTCTTGCTCTGTCACTGCCATCTACTGGTTGGATTAGCATAAAAAATAGATATGCACAATCAATTATGTTTCAGTCATTACTTGCACAAACTCCTTTGAGCACAAGCTTCAAGTGAGACCAGGAAAAGTATTTTGGGATCGATTAAAAATTTTGCAATATTACATTTCCCCTTTTACTGCCGAACTCTGCCGTAGATGTTATGAGTTAAATCAAAGGCTGGAAACAGCAACCAGATTATGTGTTATTTGTTTTTGTAGAGACCCAATTTTCTTAAACTAGGAAAGCGCCAGTGGCAAAGTGCTTTTAAATTTCGGTGTGGTTTGCCTTTATGGGCTTACTTTGGTGGGACATTGAGCTGTTAAAACATGATAACACACTACACAAAAGCTGAACCCCAAATGCCCCACTTATCTTAAGCAAAAAAGGGAAGAAAAAACCCTACCTTGCCTACCCTGTTTTGCTCTCCTCACACTTCCCCGGCTGCTGCTCCTCACCTTCACTGTTTGCTCCCATAGTTTCCTCCCTTTATGCTCTTGTAAGCTGCTGAAAACGCATCTTAGC